GCCGCGCAGCGTGAAGCGTGTGATTGGCGCCGAGGCGAGGTGATGGGGGGGGGAGGGGGGAGGGAGGCGCGAGAGCCGGCGTGTGATTGGCTGCCGGCCACCAGCGGAGAGAACAGGCTGAATGAAGCAGAGTGATGTTCACGGTAAACCGGTTCATGGCTCCGTTCACACCGATTAATACGAATCATGTTCACCGCGGATGGACAGATAATCTCCATTTAGTGAAATTACAGAAAATGTCCCATAAAATCACAGAAAAATATATAATTTACATGTAATAAATATAATCATATATAAAAATATAAGAATGCAATTGAAAAATAAATATTAAAGCTGTTATTCTGCAGATCACCGAACAAAATATATATTTTTAATTTAAAAAAAATATCCAAAGTTGTAAAAAATAAATAAATAAATCAGTATTTTTGTTCTTCTACATTGTTTATTAGCAATTACAGGTATATGTCATAATTTTACCAATTGGTTCTTTTACATTGTTCTTGTAGCAAAAAAGGAAAAAGTTACAGATATTTGTCATCATTTAAAATGAAACCTGTGCATCAAAGATTGCAAGATTAATAAATAAATAAATATATATATGTAAATAAATAAATGAATAAATAAATAAATATTAAGGCTGTTGTTTTTGCAGAGTTTACCTGTTAAATTACTGAAAATATTTAGTAAAATCACAGAAATAAAAATATTAATTTACACCTTAACCATAACAAAAAGTTCTAAACTGTTCACATCATAATTTCACAATAAAGCAATTCGTTGGCAGTGTTTGAGTGTTTTAATTAAATCATTCATTCGTCATCAGTGTGCATGTTAAAAAAAATGTCATGATTTCTGTGGTTTTTATGGTTTGAAGTTCAGTGCATGTAGTTTAACCGACTTTCAAATGTGAAAATTAAAACCATAGAGGTCTGAAGCTGTGGTATCTGCAAACCGACCCACAGACGAGCCGCTCAGCTAATTACTGATGATCCAGATGTTTATATGACTTCATATGATCCAGAACAGCAGCAGCACAGCTACCAGATAACAACAGGAATAATTATTACTTCCTCCACGAGTTACAGCCCCATCATCTTCCTCTCTGAGCTGGAAGACCACAGAAGAAGGCAGATCTGTGTCCTGCTTCTGTCAGAATCTCAACCAGAACCCTGCAAACTAACCGCAGCTGTCGGGCAAATATAAGGAGCCGGAAAGTGCATTTTTATCATTTAAAAACAGATCCCGTGGAGGCAGCATTACTGGGAGCTGTCCTCTTTCATGAGACATTAATTATGGCTGTGAAGGTAGATAGCTTTACTCATGTGAAGTCCTTCAGAGAGCCTCACCAGCCGCAGCACTGATGCATTTAATACCGGGGATGGTGAAAAGTGCCGCTCGGCAGACAGAAGACGTCATTTAGTGGCTTCATACCCGCAGCAGCAGTTATTTCTTTTATTTATAAATGTAGGTGGGAATAAAACAGTAAATGCTGCAGCTTCACCTGCAACACTGAACACGACCACAGAGAACCGCTGAAAGCAAACCCAGCAGACACGGTTCTGCTCCCAACATGGTCCACTCCCGTCATCTAGCGGAGGACGGCGGCCTGTGCAGCACCGCGAACGACTCACTTCTCTTTCTGTGGCGGAACAAACCGCGGACCGAGCCGCTGCAGGGTTTAACCTGATGCCGCCCGTCCTGCCTCCTCCTCTGGGCTTGAACACCGAGCTCCGCCCGCTCAGAGGTAGGTTAGCTCCGCGGCTAGCAGCGGCCGCTAGCTGCCCGCTCCGCGGCTCAACGCTGCTGTTAGCGGCTACAGATGCTAGCAGCGGCCGCTAGCTGCCCGCTCTGCGGCTCAACGCTGCTGTTAGCGGCTACAGATGCTAGCAGCGGCTACAAAACTCGACGACTTGCCGGTTGACATGGATGAAACGTCGGAGGAGAACCGAGCAGCTTCACGCGAACCGGCTGAAGCAGCGAAGCGCAGCTCGCGGCTAACTGTCGTAGCTAAATCAGCGGGGCCAGCCGCAAGTTAGCAGCTTTCAGTGGATATGAACGAATTAACACAGCTGAAGCTAAATCCGAATTACACCAAACATTTAAGGACATTAAATAACCGGCGTCATATGAGGACACAGATAAAACTTCATGTTGGAGCTGCGGTGCTCGGAGCGTTGGTGGTATAGTGGTTAGCATAGCTGCCTTCCAAGCAGTTGACCCGGGTTCGATTCCCGGCCAACGCAAGCTGAGGTTTTAGTTTTTTAAATGTTTACATAGAGATGAATGGTTTTGCGCACAAAAGAAAGAGAAGCAGCTGCTCACGTACATCAAACCAGAATAAAGAAGGACTGAGAGCGGTGAACAAAGGACAGCACCAGAACTGCACCAGAACAGTCCCCGCTGCCCAAAGCTGCCCCCAGCTACCAAAAACATCCTTAATTTCTAAAGACAAGAAGGTGAAAAGACAACTCAGATAATACAGCTGCTCTATGCAGGAGTTAAAAAGATATTTGTTTTTATTGGGGGGGGAAAAAGTATATTAAGGAGTGGACAATGGTAAATCTCACAAAAACAGGCAGTTTGAAGGGAGACTCCCCGTGATCCGGTCCGGACGCCACCTCTGGACATAAAGAGCCGACCCAGTTCATATGATCCAGACAGGTTTCTGGTTTTGCTGGAAAACGTTTGTGTCATTCTGTTGACTGTGTTTGTTGTCGTGTGGCTGCAGCGGCTGAATGAGCGCCATGGGCAGGTACTTCCACAGCGAGGTCCACATCCAGAGTCCGTGGCACCAGGTGCTGGCGGCCTTCTGGCAGCGATACCCGAACCCGTACAGGTAACGCCCCAACACCTGCACGGACACTCGGCCAGGTGTCACTGACCATGGGCTCTTTTTCCTGAGCCTTAAATCATAAATTTAAAAAAATAATAATTTAAATATCTCTGATTATTTATCCTGAAAAAACTACACGATACAAATACAGAAAAGTGTTGACTCCACCAACTGAACATATTTCCCTGTTTTCCGTTTTTAATTCTGAGGAAACACTGCCTGCAGCTCAACCCCAAACTCACAGAATTGTTGTAAAATGACGTCCATCGCAGCAGAGTCGGCGATTTTTTCTCAGTGTGAAAGTTGTGTGAAATTTTTTGTTTTTTGCAGAATCTTTTTACTGCAAACGCTTCTTTTTTTTCTTTTTTTTTTTTAAAGGGATGCATAAAGTGACTTTGTTGAACTATCCAGATTTTTAGCTGCAATTTAGATGCACGGTGCATTCAGGGACCGTGGGAAAGCTGACAGTCGGATTTATTTATTTTTTATTTTTTAGAATATAATAGAGTTTCTTTATTGCCGCTGCACAGCTTAAACAAGGCAGCGATCCTGTCAGTGCGAAAACCCTAAGAACTGTGTAGATATAGAATCTAGTAGAAGAAAGAGGATGTGTGAGTTTGTGTTTTAACAGTTTGTGTTTCTGACAAATGGTGGAATTAGAACGCTTCTGACGACCCGTTCTGACCTTGTCTCGGTGGAGGAAATGCCACAGAACGTGCTCAAACGTCTTTCCTTGGTTCTCAGCGCCCACGTCCTGACGGAGGACGTCCTGTACCGCGAGGTCACCCCCAGCAACCACCTGCTATCACGGCGACTGCTGACCAAGACCAACCGGCTGCCGGGCTGGGCCGAGCGCGTCTTCCCCGCCCACCTGTCGCGGGCCGTCTACGTCCTGGAGGACTCCATCGTGGACCCCGACGCCAACACGCTCACCACCAAGACCTGGAACCTGAACCACAACACGCTGATGGTGAGCAGCGACGCACCTGCGCAGGTGTGTTGCCTGTAGAGGGCGTCCACACCTGGTTAGAGCAGGGATCTCCAGGTTTTAGATGTCACTGCCACACACCTGACTCACACTAATGGATCACTAACAGACTTGTGTAGAACTTGACAACCAGCTGCTGGAGATCCATTAGTGTGAGTCAGGTGTGCTGCAGAACCGTCTAGAACCTGCAGGACAGTAGATCAGGAGGCCCGGAGCTGGAGATCCCTGGTTAGACCAACACCAACGCGTACATGCATAAGAGTGAATACACATTTCAACAGACGTGGCTGAAAGCTGCAGCGCTTCAGGCCCGAACACCAAACCATCTCTGAAACATAAAGTTACTCCAAACTTCTTTTTTTAATCACAAATTGTGGATATTTAAATTTGAGCTTAATGAATTCATTTCAGAGACACAGATCTGCTGGGGTTTTTTTCAAATTGTTTCAGGAACAACATCTTAGAAACTATTGAAGTTAAAACCCTGAAACGTTCACTTTTATCTCTCATCATGTCGTTGACTCAGACTCTGTCATATCGGACCAGTAGGTCAGATGATCTCTGGTTCTGGGGGAGTTGAAGCCGTCGTTAAAAGTAGTTTACATGTTAAAAAAATATCTGGCCACAGCTGTAAAAAATCTGTACTTTTATATAGTCTGACCATAAAATGACACTGATCCCAATATGTAAACAAAACTACAGTCAGTATTTAAAATAAACATGGTAAATTTAACTTTCACACAGCTGCAAATATCACAGAGGAAAAGTATTTAATGACACGTTAACTGTTAGACAAACAAACAATAAACAAGCCAAAGCTGTAAAAAAATAAATAAATCTGTATTTTTACAGACGGTCATTCCGTCCTTCCGGTTGACCTTTGAGAGTTCTACACCGTTAAAACCACCCATTGCCGTTACCTGTCAGGTGACCTGTAAACCCCACCCCCCGCCTCAGCCGACCAACCGGTGCCCTGGACGCTCACAGCCCCTCTGCACCGATTGGTCGGCTGCCTGGCGGGTGTCGGTCGGGCCGTGACCGCGGTTGGGTCTCTCCCCAGACGGTGGTGGAGCGCTGCCTGTTCGAGGGGGACCGCGGTCGGCCATCTTGGACCCGGCTGAGGAGGGAGGCGTGGATCTGCTCGGCGGTCTACGGCCTGGCCCGGCCCATTCAGGTGAGAAATAGTCCGCTCGGTTCCATTCTGGATCAGCGATGGTTTGTGTCAGAGTTTATTGTTCTCCTGATTCTAATAAACCGGCTTCAACCTGTAGAAATGTCAAGAAACAAATAAAAGATCGACTGAATCGGGCTTCTTTCCCAGTCGTGCGAGCAGCGCCACCTACTGGACTGCATGGGTTTCACCAGGACGCCACTTATGACTTCCACACACAGTTCTAACCAACAAGTTCTAGGTTTCAAGGTTCATTCAAGACAAGATGTGACTTTATGTCCTACAACTTTAAAGGCTTATTTCAGCCAACATGCCACGCAGCTACTTTCCTTCTGTGATTCAAACTGGTTGCTCAGAGCTGCTTTCAGACAAACTGTGTAATTCAGTCACGATCAGGTGAAGTGACGACATCATAAGAAACACATTAACGTGAATGGATGCAGCGCTGATGACGGAATGGATCCCATCACCAAGCCACAGTTTGTCGTCACTGATACCAGCTGTCGTCCACCTGGGCCCCATGTCGAGGTCTTCAGGACTCGTCCGACTCAGTAGGCGACATGAACACGACAGATCGTGAAGCTCTGCAGACGCTCGACTCCGCGGTGGATCCAGAAGGTGGCGCTACGCGATGGTAAATGTTGGCACTGCTGCTGTTTAATTCTCTCTGTTTCTGCTGCAGGAGTTTGGTCTGGCCAGGTTCAAAAGCAACCAAGCTAAAGCCATGAGGGGGCTGGAGTTCGCTCTGTCCAGGATACAGAGTAAGAACCACATTTGCTCTCTTTACTGGAACCTTGAATGAGTTCAGATTAACCAGAAGGGCTTTTCCAATCAATTTTATAACCAGCTATGTGCATCAACATGATGAGATATATCAAGGTTCCAATACATAAACACTGGACATTAGAAAATAGTTTCCTACAGAGTGAGTCCTGTCTGTAGATGGTTCTGGTAGGTTCTGGAGGTAAAACGGTCCTTCCAT